CTTGGTTGTCTTCATTTAAATCTGAAAAAGGTCTTTATTAGTCCAGTGCTGGGTTTGCAGTGGGGTCATATCCCCTGGTTAAAAGGGGAAGACTAGAGGCTGTCATTTAAAAGCTTATTCCTGGGGAAGGGGGATCTGCTGGTGTGCCCCATTCAGATTCCAATGAGGAGGGCATCTTCCCATTCAAGAGCAGGTGGTGGCAGCGTAACCATGTGCCTGGGTGGGACTCTTTACTGACCTCCCAGAACTCCAGAACCTACTGGTAATTTGGGCCCACATTCTGTCACTGTCCAGCCTCAGTTGATATTGCCTGAATGACGTGAGTTGCCTTGAGATCCTTGAAAGAAGATTGAATGTAAATCTAATAAAACAGATAAGTTAATATAGCACAACATGTGCCAATGAGCTCTGTGCAGTGGTGTCATAATAGCCAGGGAGCTGGACTGGAACCAAAGAGCCCAAGTTGAGATTTGCACTCAACCACGCAGTTTATGAGGATGTGTGATGGAAGGTTTAACAGCCTGGGAACACAAAGCAGAGAGAGTGGCCAACAGGCTAGGAAGCAGGGCCAGTAGCAAAAAGATTCTGGAGCCCAGGCGAGGGGGGAAGCATGCACAAAACACCAAGAGCAACTCTGCTTCGTTATGCTAGATACCAACTGGAGAATTGCTTTGTCAGGCTTTCAGGATTCTGTCACATTACTGTACTAGCAAGAAAGACCTTTCCAGAAATCCAAGTGGTTCTTGTTCCTGAGTGGCCTGCCTCAAAGGACCAGACAGTGACCTTGAACCAGTCACTCTCAGCCCCCGCCCCCCACCTTATAGTATTGTTCACGTAGGGGTAACCCTAGAGATGGAACTGCTATGTCTATAAGAGGGATCTAAATATATAGAATCAATCATGATATAACAAGGACACAAGATCCAGGAGGAGAGATTTAAGTCAATTCCGAAGCTGTCTCCTTTTTGCTGACTACTCCCTCTTTCTAACAAAAATGTTTGGATTTTCTCTTACAACATTATTTTTTCATCATCTGCTCCATTCTCTAGCTATGCCCATTGGGATGATACATTACATGCACTGAAGAGAGAAAATGGCTCCCAAAAAGCCACCAGCAAGAGGTAAGCCTTTCTGCCATCTTTTACTCTTCCAAAGAATATCTATGAGAATGTCAATGCCCCGCATGTGGACTTCCTTCTTGGGAGGATGCTGGTGACCGTATGTTGACTCGCAAGGCCCTATCCTGTCTGGTGACAATGAAGGTTGCAACTGGGAATAACAGAGTATGAAACAGTCCAGAATATGAAACATGAATGAAATGAATATTAGGAATGAGATACATGGTATGCCTGTAAAACTAAAGTAGAAGGATGTAATAGATCTGAATTATGATATTTTGATCTTGTGGCATTGATGAAAGAATGCATGTAAATTAAGGTATAATATAATTATGAATGAACAACTGAGCTAAAATATGTTGGAAAGTACGATGTTGTCCTTTAGTTTGCGGTATGTGCATATGGGATTAGGAAATCATAGGTTGGTGACAGTTACATTGATATTCCCATAAGTGATGATAATGGAAGAGCTCAGGATGGGCGTTAGGGAAACTGTGAAGCCTTCTGAATGAATTTGTGTAGAGGGAAGAGGAAATGACCTTGAAGGACAGGAGAAAGAGGTATACCAAGAGGCCTGAGTCCAGGGCAGGAATGTAATGTGAGAAGATGTCTCAGACAAGCCCCTCCCTAGTTCACACAAAGGTGAAGCGATGGAGTGGAGAAGCACATTCAGACTGGCAGGATGCTATTACTTTAGCTTTACAGTAAAAGGAGTCCTGACTTACATGGCATTGGTTTCCTAGTCTGGCCTACCTAGAAGGGTTGATTTCTTGATAGAGGGGGGAAAATGTTGTGGGAATGAGTGGAGAAAAAGTGACTGAGTCATTTGGGTCTCCAAGAATGACTGGTAGAGGTGCTATTAGAAATATTGAAGTACGTTGATTTTGAATATGTAGTTTAAGCATACATCTATTCATACGTAGAGACTGAAAAAGAATGAATAAAAATGCATGGATGACTGTGGGAAGTTGTTTGGTCTACTGTCAATCAAATAGACTCAGCAGAGCCCCAATAAGTAGTGAACACAGAATTTTTGCTTCCTTGGTTCTGTTTACTATATAAAAGAAAAGGATGCCATAGACACTTTATATTACACAAAACTACAGGGACAACAACAATACAAACATATACAAATAAAAAGGGACAAGGTTCCTGATCTCTATCTAACCCAGTGTCCTATACTGTGTTATTACCTATGCTATATTCCTATGCTATACTCCTAATCTACTATACTACTTCACCTGATATTATACCACTCTATACTACACAAGTAATATCCTACTCCTGCTCCATGTCCTGTCCACTTACTCTATTTCGTATAACTATCTAGTCCAGTGGCGCCTAATAGTGTAGTCTCAGTCTTATGTCTTGTTGTGTTTGTCCCTCTTGATCTTTCTGTTGTTGCATCTCTTCTTCTTGTGGTAGTTGTAGCTTTTCCAGATCCTCTTTGAACTTTTCATAAAAAATATCTTGCCTTTTGTACAGAATTCAGTCTGTACCTCTGTTGATTAAATGTCAGAATTATTCCTTCCAGTTTGTACCAAAGAAATGGCATCCTCTTTTGTTTACATTTGTCAAAAAGTATATTCCTTCTTTTTTGTAACATTCTCTTTCAGCAATATAATGTCAGCAATTCAGTTGGTATCTCTTTCAGCAATAGCACATCTGTATTATTGATCTGTAATTTATTATTAAAATGTCATTGAAGTACTTGGTCTCTTGTCTTCTTTCTTACAAAGTGCACTAATACAGTATATCCCTTGGAACTTTTCTCATTTTTGCAAATTGGTATTAATACTGTACGCTTTGTCCAACTCTGCTTCCATATCTTCTTCATCTCAGTCCAAAAAATTTGATAAGGACTCCACAATTTTGTGTCTAATATCTTCCCCAGATGCTTCTGGCACTGCTCTCAATCTTAAACTAAATTCTTTCCCTCTTAATTACCTAAAGCCCTTTCCATTTCTCTATTAATTATCTCTCCTTTATTTTCCAGAATTTCTATTTTTTCCTTTCTTTACTTTGACTCCTCTAGTTATTTTTTATATAGTCCTCCAGTTTTTTATCCATTTTTTTTTATATTTGTAAATCTCTCTTCCACATTATACAACTTTTCTCCCACCCTTTTAATAGGTATGACAAGCTTCCCCAGCTCCTCCAGCATTTTTTGTAAAGTCTCTTGATTAATTCCCTTTCCATTTGTTGACTTGCTGATGAAGATCCCCTCCTTGATGGAGTTATTTCTGTAGCTTTTGCTGCTTTCCTTGTAGTTGCCATTGTTTTCAAAACATTGTAATCCAAATAATAGAGAAGAAAGATAGTAAAAAGTACACTCACAATTAACAGTTTTATACTTCTCTATATGGTATCTCTATCTTCCAAAGATCTTTGTAACTTCCTGTTTTGTTTCTCTGATGACTCTATCGTCCCTTTGTTTATTGCAGCCAGCCAATCCTCCTCTCCCAGCAATCCAAAACAACACTTTCCCCCACAGAGGTATGCTTTGTTTGTTAGTTTGACTATCTTCGACTAATTAGCAAAAGTTCCAAATTCAGCTGGTACCTTATTCCGTTTTTAACTTTCTTAATCCAAACTATTAAACAGTTTTGTGCTTTTAATTTCTTTCTGGCTATTTTTGTCCCTTAACTTTTATTTCTTCCTATGGGTTGAAGCTCCACTCACTTGGCTGGTATTAGTTTCTCTGTTGCATCAAAGGTTTCTTTTTACTGTACATTTTTTCTCCAAAAAAAAAAAATACTTAAGAAAGTAGACTTGGTGAGCCAATTAACAGTCTCTAACTGAGATCTGGAGCTTGCTGACTTCTGCAGCTCCTGGTGTTCTCCTTGAGAGGAGCTGGCAAGATTCCTTTGGATCCTGCCAGCCTTCTTCCAAGGAACAGCCTTCTGGAGCACAGATGGGTGATCTCGCAGCTTCTCCTTGTCCAGGGGAGTGCCATTCATTTGGGTGTAAGACTGGCGGCTGGCTATTTCCTTAGTGACATCGATGCCATTACACAATGGTATGTTAGCCTGTCATTGTTCTACCTGGAAGTCCCCAGGTCCCATCAATTAAATATTGTCCTTTCATGGGACCAAGCAAATTACCCTCTCTGTCAAAGTCCCTGCCTTCTGGAACAGCATCCCCTCAGACATGTGTATGGCTCCCATGCTCCCTGGTTTCTAGAAATCTCTTAAGATGTGCTCTGTTCTGGGCCTGGGGTTAGGGTGGCTGTAGAGACCCTGTTGAGTTTTTGCAGATTGAAGAGTTTGATCAGGGCAATCATGTGGTTTTTAGTGTGCTTTTAACATATGTTTTGCGCTTACTGATGCTGCCCAGAGTCTTCCTGGAGTGGGGTGGCCTTAACAAATCATCATCATTGCTGCTGCTTTTTGTATTGCTGCTTATTTATGATAAAAAACTGGGAGATTAAGGAAGGATACAACAGCAATGAGAAGTTTCAAGTGTGGAACTACATCAATTGGTCACATGAAGAAAAACAGACATGGAAGAAAGGGAAAGAGTGAAACAAGAGAACAACTGATGCAATGAATGAAGAAACATGTTGTATCATGTATATGAAGAAAAAAAGAGAATTGCAAAGAAAACAGTCAAAATAGCAAAAAGTAGTTAAGTTTAAAAGTGGAGAAAAAATGCAGAGCAATTTTGATGGAAATTTTAAAAAATGGTTTGAAGTGGGTGAAGAGCACTGTACAAGAATCCTCCAGGAGATTAAATAGAATGTAAAATAAATGTGATTAAATTATTTCAAAAGCTATTTTATTTGTTTTTATAGAAGGAGTAGAAATGGAAGCAGTAACAGACTTCATTTATTTGGGCTCCAAGATCACCGAAGACAGAG